AATCAACAGTTATTAACCTGTGCTGTCAGAGTATATCCAAACACTTAAGCGGTATAGAAATACTGGGGGTTTATCAGTGTCTGTAGTCGTGTAGTGTTACATTTTGATTCCAATTTGTCAGAGTTTAGAAACTGCACTAAAGTAACATATTTTCATCTCACATCTATTTTATCTGTAAATATAGCAAATCTAGATTTGATAATCTGTTCACATAAAATTGAGACATAGACTTTGCTGAGATATATTTTACACTCTTCTTCAGTTTTGGGTTGTTGGTTTTTTTTTTTCATATTTTAGAATGCCATTTGGCTGTAAACCCTTTGATTAAGAGACTATGAACAAATACACTGCAGACTTAAAAAGACATCTAAAAGCAACATGTTAAATGTTGAGCAGTTTTTAAAAAAGTCTTTCATAATACACCTTTTGATGTCCTTTACTAATGTAACAATTCTGATTTAGGTTTCAAATAATGTGTTTATTATTTATGCATAATTATTATGCATAAATTAATAATACATTAATAACACACTATAACATGCTATAAACTATATGAAATGGAAACATGCTTTTGGAAAATGTTTATTTCGGTTCATGTAAAGACTTAAGAGAGCCCTCAAAGACTGAAAATGTTGGTGTCTAAAATGATCAAACAAAACAGCTTTTCTATGGAGGTGACTGAATTCTGGCCAAAACAAAATCTGAATTTATAGAATAAGGCTTTCACAAATACTTTGTCCTTTTGAAAGTCATGACTTGAGTGTTCATGTGCCTAGTGCCTAGAAATATGTGCCTAGTGCCATTTTAAACACAATCATATCCTGCCTGGACACCAGCTGCTTCATGAGAATGATGCAGGTCTCCTTAAAGTCCTTCATCTGGTCTGCCAGGACAGCAGACCGTAGTCATCTAAGTTTAAGCACTTTAATTTAAACACCCTAACATGGGAGTGGTTTCTCTTGAACAGAAATCCCATTAAATAATTTCCTTTCTTTTTTTTCACTACAACTGTCAATTATGTAACCCAAACTCTAGCTGATTGGTTGCATATTCTGCAGGGAAAATGTGGGTTTCCATTGCTTAAGCTTGAGGGGGTTTATTAAACAGAAATCTCACTTCTTAGGGTAAATGGCTTTAGTAGTAGCACTGTATAAACAGTAACTTTTAAGATTTATCTTTAAAAAAGAAAACTGTAATTCCATTTTGTGAAGCTGAAGCATTTGCATGTGTCCTGTGTGTTTTGATAAAAGTTTAAGGTTTTAGGAGTATTTATATGTCTTTCAGATGAAATAAAGTATATCTAGGCAGCTACTGGGGTGTGATGTTTGAATTGTCATATTTTAATTGTATAGCTCAAAACTAGCCAATTTCAGTTTTAGCTGCCAAAGAATTTTTCCAAATCTGGCCCAAATTCTCTAGTTAGGTGTGGTGGTGCAATTCTTACCCCTCCCCGCCTCTCCTTGTTGGGCTGCTTGGTGCTAGGTGTGATTCCACCTACATCCCCCAGCTGTACACCAATTAGCAAGCCTGGCTCCTGCCCCTCCCAATTGCTCGGAAATGGTTATAATGTCCCATCATCTCCTGATGGCCTGGCACACCTGTGCCTAGGATGTGGTCAAATGGGAACAATAACAGAGTTGCACATTCATCAAGTTCTTGTGCAACTGCTGGAAGGCACCAGAAGGTATCTGACAAAAGTCTGATATCTTGGACCTGAAAAATGGCGACCACCAGGGAGACCCTTTGAGCTCTCCTGGATCGCAGTGAGCCTCTGACCAGCATCTTCCCTGAGCTGGGACGTCTCTCAGGTACCAAAACCCTTAAGGTGTCACCTGCTCCAGATGGAAGGCCAGGGTGAAGTCAACCCACTCAAGTCTCAGTTATCACCCGCTCAGAAATGCCAAGGCATTGTGAGTATTTGCTCTAAACTCAAGAGGGTATTTTTTCTTTGAGCTAGCCTCTCTTTTACCTGTTCTTTCCCTGTTTATTGGGGTGCGTGTGTGGGTGTGTACCCTTGTTTCTGTGTGCATGTTTGTCCGTTTTGTGTTCATTCTATTGAATCCAAACACATTTGTTTCTCTGTGTGTGTCTGTCTGTTTTGTGTATGAGCATGTATATATGTATAAATTAAGGTACCGTTAAGTAAGTTAATGTGAATCTTGTCATTTTAGAATCTGTGAATAAGTCACCTTTCTTTAATTCAGCATTTCTGAATTATTTTGTAATGATAAATTGCTAGAAGTTATTTATAAATCTAGATTTCATACTAAATCATTTATGTGTCAATACTTTAGTCCGTGACATTAGGGGGGAAAAAAAAAAAAAAAGGGTTTTCTTTCACTGGATGGAGATAATAATTTTATTTCTGTTTCATTTTTTAACTGGGCAGGTCTTACAAAGTTAAAATATTTTAACTTACACTCTTAAAGACCTTCTGACATCAGTATATTAAAAACGTTTGAAAAAAAAACAGTCCTAAGAAGCAAGAAGTTTTGATCTATTCAAATCCAGCACTTCCTCCTGGGTAATTTTATGTTTCAGCAAGGTGCATGTTATAAGAGGCTGATGTTAGAATGTCCGTAACAAAATTAACATAGTAGTTTTTGTTCAATGGATCAAATTACATTGTTTCCAGAAGGTTTAAAATAAGGGCACAGATAGTGCTAAATCCACTGCTAATTTTACAGTGACTTACTTAAGGCTAAGGAAGAATAACTTTTTTTCTTTTCTTCATTTTTATTTTCCTCTTTTTTTGTTCTGCCCCAGTTCTTTTTTCCCCTTGTGTTATCTTGAAGCTTAAGGACTTCATGTTTATAAGTAATGGACATTAACTCAATTGTGTTATGGAATAAACTTAAAACTACTCTGATAGTAAAGTCAAAAACTCGACATTATAACCAGACAGGAATCTTCTAGTCCAGCAAAATAGGAAAAATTAAGCCTATTTCCCCCCATACTGTACAAATACGAGTCAGTACTTGCTGGTGAGCATGAGCATTTACTTGTCCAGAGAGACTAACAATGACTTGGAGAGTGGGATGACTCAGAACTACCTGTGTGTTCCTTTTCTCACGGATACACTAATATGATTGCAGATTTAGCAATCTATCACTGAGCACTGACCACTCTATTAAATTGTATGTGGTACTGATTTTGGCTGGGATAGAGTTAATTTTCTTCATAGTAGCTCACACATGGTGCTATGGTTTGGATTTGTGCTGGAAGAAGTGTTGATAACACAGGGTTGTTTTAGTTATTGCTGAGCGGTACTTACACAGAGTCAAGGCCATTTCTGCTTCTCTCACACCACCCCACAGACGAGTAGGCTGGATGACCACAAGAAGATGGGAAGGGACACAGCTGGGATAGCTGACCCCAACTGACCAAAGGGATATTCCATACCATGAGACATCATGCTCAACATATAAAGCTGGAGGAAGAAGAAGGAGGAATTGAGGGACATTCAGAGTGATGGTGTTTGTCTTCACAAGTCACTGTTACATGTGATGGAGCCCTGCTTTCCTGAAGATGGCTGAACACCTTCCTGCCAATTTGAAGAAGAAAACAAATTCCTTGTTTTGCTTTGCTTGTGTGCGTGACTTTTGCTTTACCAATTAAACTGTCTTAATCTCAACTCATGAGTATTCTCACTTTTACTCTTCCCCCATCCCACCAGTGTGGAGTGTGTGAGCAGTTCTGTGGGGCTTAGCTACTGGCTGGGGTTAAACCATGACAATGGTTAAACCAAATAATGTGTAAAAGACAGGCTTTATTGCAGACATGTAAATCTTGCTTCTGGCACTGATATAGACAGCAATATGAATGCGTAAACTGCTATAGCTAAATGCAAATTTTCCTTCAGTAGCTCCACAAACTAATTCATGTGTATGTGTGCATAATGCTTTCTTTTACAACCATCATGAATTCATTCTACAATTTTAAATTGTTCTGTAAATATACATGCATTTGTCTGCAACAAACACTACCATAAGTAGTCTTAAATCTTAAACAATTATTTGAGAATAAACAACCTAATATGAGATTATTTGTCAAATCATTTTTTATTAGGGATATACCACATACTTTGTGTATACAATTATTATAATTTGAAATAAAAATGTTCAGATGCAGGTGCTTGTGACCTGTGTTAAGAGACCGGAGAAAGCATCCATAATATTCATGAACCTGTAGTGTCCCAATGTCTGAAGAAAAGAACCTGAAGTCCTCTGAAGACTTTCCCTGAATTAATTAGCAGCCAGTAGATCAGACCACTTAATCTACAGTCAGAGCTATTTTTTTTTTCCACTTTATCTAACTGAAAATCACATCATTATCACATCATCATCAATCCATGTGATGGTTGTTAAGGCTAAGGGTATTGACAATATAGAAAAGAAAGGGCTAAATTTCATGGGTAATCTAGACCACTGCCTTGGAAAATCTTGGTGCTTAATATCACCTGATCTATTGTAATGGCACTCAGTAATTAGCCTAACATCACATGTAAAAGTCAAGTTAAGAGCTACAGGTCTGACAAATCTATAAACGTGTTGTTTAATTTCTATAAGAGTTTAAAAGCTGAACCTCATATTTAGTTAACTGATTTTCAGGAAGTAAACACTGACTTTAATATGAAGAAGGGATTTTGTTATCCTGTGATACTTAAGGATTTTGTGTGCAGCTTGGTTTAGTTTGGTCTCAGCATGTTCTTTACAAACAATGAAATGTTGTGTATAGCAGATTTTGAAATTAATAACCACATAGTTCCTTTTTATCTTTACTAAAGATTTTCTGACCTATTTTTGCAAAATGTTAATAAACACGTGAGAAAATTGTAAAATTTACCACTTACATTATCTTACCTTCTAAAAAAGGAAAAATTCAGCTGCAACCTCCCCAGTGATTAGAGCTGTACCGTCAAGGTCATTCAGAGAGAAGCAGGAAAAGCTGAATGACTAGACATATTAAATAAAAAGATTATTTATTCTGACTTTATGACGATCTCCCACCCACCCCTCGTATCTCTGTATAGCAACTAAGCTCTCTGCACTACCTATCTTGTAAAAATCATTTTATATTATGACAGGTAAGTAAAGTGATAGTTTCAAGTTTCTATTACTAAATTAAATGTTATTGTGTTCAAATCCTCCTGGAGCTTTTAGTCTTATTAATGTTTCAGCTGCCTTAATATAATTGCAAAAACTTCATAGCAAGGTAGAATAAATCTAAAAATTATAGTGGGGGAAAAAAAAAAAAAAAAAAAAAAGTGGAAAGAGAGAAGAAAAGATACTAATATTAAAAACAGTGGAGCCAGTGACAGATAAAAGACCTCAGCCCTGTAAAGATATGTCAATAAAACTATCCAGCTCTGAAGATATATTGCCATTAACTTTTTGTTGTATTTTCTGAATATAAAACTTCCTTCTATTAAAACCAACTTTAGTCTACATCGCCCAAGCTTGTATTTTTTTTTCTATACCATCATTTTGTAAGTATTTAAAAATAATAAACGCCTTTCACACTGAGTTTGATCTCTGCCATAGCTTAAATGCACAACCTGAAGTTTTCCTAAGTAATTGTTTGATTTAAAAAAAAAAAAAAAAATATTATAGAGAATAATTTACAGTAAGAAATCAGCTAAATCCCCAAACCAATGCTCTTGGAGTTTGGCTTGCCAGTAAAAAATTCAGCATTCAAAATCCCAGATGAAAGTAGATATTTAGTCTTGTGGGTTCTTTTGACATGAAGAGTTCATTCTCTCTCCTTCAGATACCTTGCCTTATTGCAAAGTAAAAATTCTGCTATTTTAATATAACACTTGTTGACATTTTAAATAAATTTTACCTGCTTACATACAGTGTGGAAATGTTTAGAAAAATGCTAATATTTAGTGTGTTGCTGGAAGTAATGATAAACAGTTCAAAAATCATGATGCTCAAGAAGTATGTAACTTCTTTAGCTATGCAAATGTGTAAAATCTGATTATATTTCTATTCAAATTTATTGCTGGATATTATTTACATCAAGTAAAAATACTATGGGTTATGTTTGATGGATGCTTTATATTTTCATAAAATCTATTTTAGATCTTTGATATTATAGGTTTTATTCCTGACTAAGGCAGTTTGACAATCTTTCTTCTTTCTTCTTCTTTCTTCTTTTTTTTAATAATTTCCTCTTTCTTCTTCATTTCTTCTTTTATCTTCTTTCCTCCTCCTCTTATTCTGACTAAAAGGACTGATATTCATCCATATTTAGAGAAAATTTTAAATTTTCATTTTTTGTAACGAAGAGCATACATTAATTCTAGTGAATTTTCCATTTTGAAATATGTATAGCCATTGCAGAGACTGAAAGTTTATGTGTTTGTGAGAAATGAGTTATAATAAATACTCTATACCAGATACTAGCTAACATTTACTAGAAAAATTAGAAATCGTGCCTTAGAAATCTTGTTTACCCTTTCATTTTTACTGACTCCTGATGAGTTTTTGAGTTTTTTCCTCTATTTTCTTTTTTATTTTTTTATTTTTTTTTATTTTTTTTTTTTTTTTTTTTTTTTTTTTTTTTTTTTTTTTTTCATTTTTGTTGTTTTTCTCACTTCACAGCTAGTTTGCTGGTCATAGAAAGTGTAACTAATCTTGAAAGGAGGAGGAACTTTGGAGGATTAAATTAAATGTGTAAAAGCATTTTGTTCTAATCTAGAATCTGAATTTGCAACTATAATTTATGTGCTCATATCAAAACAACATGTATTTTAAGCTTAGATTTTAGTGAAGTTGTATGTTATGCAGATTTCGACAGGGGGAAGTTATCACATTTTGAATGCATGAGTCACAAAATTATTTATGGTGATGGAAGCAAATATTCTGTTTGATACTGGATTTTAAGCAAAATATTGTTTATGTTAATTATTTGGAAAGTTTGAACTGTTGGCTAAAAAAATATGTTCAAGGATCCAAGATTACAGAATTAATTTAAGCAAATTGCCTAAAGTGCGTTCACGATTCTCCAGTCTCTCTAAGTCTTTCACTGAAGTGAACCTGTGCACTGCAACTGCTTGTTAATGATGGTCAAATGAGAAAATACCTCTAGAAAGGGAGTAAATACATAAATTGTTACTAAAGGCATCACATTTCTGCTTTCCAACTATGAAAAAAAACCCTCAAATCCTTAAATTTTGTCAACAGCGCTTCAAATATTCTAATGTTTGGAGATAAGGAGGCTGAGGGGTGACCTCATTGCTCTCTACAGCTTCCTGAGGAGGGGAAGTGGAGAGGGAGGTGCTGAGCTCTTGTCCTTGGTATCCAGTGATAGGATGCATGGGAATGGTTCAAAGCTGTGTCAGAGGAAGTTTAGACCAGACATTAGGAAGCATTTCTTTACCCAGAAGGGGGTCAAACAATGGAACAGGCTTCCTAGAGAGGTGGTCGATGCCTTGAGCCTGTCAGTGTTTAAGAGACAATGCCCTTAATAACATGCTTTAACTTTTGGTCAACCATGAATTGGTCAGGCAGTTGGACTAAACTGTTTTAGGTCTATTCTATTCTATTCTATTCTATTCTATTCTATTCTATTCTATTCTATTCTATTCTATTCTATTCTATTCTATTCTATTCTATTCTACATTTAACTCATGTATCTCATAGAAAATAGTGTTTGAAAGGTAAACTATCCTATTGACAAGACTAAATAGGTTAAGGGGTGCAGATTATATTATTTAGTAAACATGGAACTTATGAAATAGCATAAAGGTTAAAAAAATGGCATAACTAGCACTTTCAAGACTGGTTATAAATAGTGTTAGCTACTAACTCAACATGTTATTTACAGTTCATATGCACTTTTTAGTTATTAAGACTAAAACATGTTGGCTCTCATCTAATTTGCTTCAGTAACTGTCTTAAGTGAATATGATTTCAGAATGAAGATAGTCTTTAACTTTTTTTTTTTTAAATGCTTGTGACAAAAATAGTAGTAACACTGAATTTGAAAACAACAAAAAAATCATATATCTTAAAAGGTCCTTAATCAAAATTTTATATGACACACCACTACTTAACACGAAAATTAAATTTTCAAAATCTAAAACATGGAAGTGAATAAAAAGTTATTCAGAAAAATGAGAATTTATAGCAATATTAAACACAAAGGAAAATCCAACTACTTAAGCTTTATTCTGAATTTTATTTAGTTTTTGGTTGATTGGTTCGATCTAGTTTTCTGAAAATTTATAAAAAAACTAAGAATTTCCAAAGTGGTGGGGTTTTTTTTGTTTATTTGTGTTTGGTTTTGGGTTTTTGTGTGTGTGTTGGGGTTTTTTTTGGTTTTTTTTTTTTTTATTATTATTATTTTATTATTATTAATAGCCATATATTAAGAAAGAAAGAAAAAAACCCCAAACTGTAGCAGTCAGTAAGTCACTCACACTTAGTAAACTGGCCTCAGGTCGAGCTCACAACAGTATTTTGTTTTACCAGACTGAAGGTGTATTTTGGTGGTAATATCTCATTGCAATTTTTTTTTTTTTTAATTAATTCTGACTTGCATTTCTTGGGCATTGTGCACAAAGGGGTTTACTTGGGGATGTCTATGGCCACCAGATATATCTGTATGGCTGTAAGACACATTTGTAATATACCACAGAGTTATACTGAGGCTTCCAATTTAAGTTTCTGATATAAAAAAACTCTGAGGGGAACTTCAAAGTATTACTTAACCATATAGTTCTATCACAAGTTCATTACTTTTTAAATAATTAGAAAATCTGAACTTGAAAATAACTTATTCTTTCTCTTGATCTGATTTTGCCTCTTCTACAAGTCTAATATTTGCTTGTGTTTAAAATAGAAAAGTGAGAGTCAGCTTGTGTTCTCCAGTGGGATCAATAGTATCTGTCCAATTTCCCTGGTAGATGAGGGGAGAGTAGTGGATATTGTCCACCTAAACTTCAGCAAGGTTTTGACACTGTGTCCCCCATGGGATCCTCATGGAAAAACTGTTGATGCATAAACTGGAGTAGCAGATAATGAGGTGGATTGAAAACTGGCTCAATGTCTGTGCCCAGAGAGTGGTGATCAGTTCACAAAATCTAGTTGGAGGACAAGGACTAGCGATGTAGCCCAGGGATAAACACTCTGTTCAGTTCTGTTTAACATCTTAATTAATGATCTGGCTGATGGAGTAAAGTGTTCCTTCATCAAGTTTGCAGATGGCACCAAACTGAGAGGAGTGACTGATATGTGAGAGGGTCATGCTGCCGTCTAGAGAAACCTCAACGGGCTGGAGAAATGGGCTAACAGGAAAGTTGTGAAGTTCAGGAAAGGGAAGTGCAAAGCAACACTATGCACCAATATATGCTGGGGCATCTACCATCTGGTAAACATCTTGGCAGAAAATGACCTAGGGATTCTGGTGGGCACCAGGATGAACACGAGTCAGAAATATGCTCTTGTTACAAAGAAGACAAGTGGTATCCTTTGCTGCATTAGACATAGTATTGCCCACGGGTTGAGGGAGGTCATGATTCCCCTTTATTCAGTGCTGGTGAGGCCACACCCAGAGCACTGTGTCAAGTTCTGGGCTCCTCATATCAAAAGAGATGTAGATATACTGGAAAGAGTTAAATGAAGGGCCATAAGGATGATTAAGGGACTGGAGAACTGGAGTATGAGGAAAACCATAGAGAGTTGGGACTGTTTATGCTAGAAAAGAGAAATCTCAGGGGGGATCTTATTAATGTATATGAATAACTGAAGGGAAGGTGCAAAGAGGATGGAGCCAGTGGTGCCCAGCGACAGGACCAGAAGCAATGGGCACAAACTGAAACACAGGATGGTCCTTCTGAACACGAGGAAACGTTTTTACTGTGAGGATGTCTGAGCAATGGCACAGGTTGTCTAGAGACATTGTCGAGTCTCCATTAAAAAAAAAAAAAAAAAATCTATATGTGGTCCTGGGCAACTGATGTAGGTGTGCCTGCTAAAGCAAAGGGGTTGAATGGTGACCTGAAGAGGTCACTTGCAACCTCAGCCATTCTGTGATTCTGCCAGTTCAGGACAGCCCTTGCTCCTCACTGGAACACTCTAACCCTCTGCTATTGCTTTGCTTCTAAGGTTATTTAAAAAAAAAAAAAAGAATTGTTTCAAGTCCACCCCCTAAAACCCTCTACAGATAAGGGTTCAGGGGATCATACTGATTACTTCCTAGTAATAGTCATTCAGAAAGAAGTCAAACACCATCCTGTAATAGGACATTCTCTATAATACAACAGATAAATCCAAAGCAGGCTGAAGATTATGTTCAGCATGTAAGAACAAACCTCAGAGTTAACAATTTCTCATTCTCTCATATTAGTTCTATTCACAGAAGGTTTTTCAGGAAAATGACCATAAAACCTCCATTTTACCTTGAAGAATTAACCTACAGATTTTCTTATTTCAACAGTGTCACAGTTTAAGATCAAATGAACACATGGAGATTAAATGGATTTGAACATTAAAACACTTTAATCACAGGTAATACAATTTTACAGATTTCATTACTTCGCTGTTTAATGATAGGAATGGCACAATTGAGGAGAAAAGTTGGGTGGGTCAGCATAGCAGTTCCTGACATTAATTCCCTGTGCTATGGGAGAGATGAGGCAATCCAGGAGGAGAGACAGGGTGTTAGCATGGCAGATCCAGATTTGTGGGGTCCATGGGCTCCTCTCTGGTTCCCTCAGGTTTGCTGCATGTTGAAGAGGCGATGCCACATACTGTGAAGTGTCATGGGTCCCCCAGGGTCTCTCCAGTTCCCTGGGTTTATCTCCAAATTCCTTATTTTTCTCATCCCCAGGATGGGGTAGAGAATATTTCCTCTGGGAGACATCTGTCTAGGTAGCAGTGCTGCATTCCGATTTGCTGTCAGTGTGGTTGGCACTCAGAATCTGCTTGTTCAGGACCGTTCTGCATACTTGTACAGTCCTTGATGACCAATAAACTGTTTGCATAGTTTGGCCATCCATTTCCTAGAGCAAATAAAAACTTCGGTCAAGAGATGGGGAGGTCAAACTTTGTGTCCTGGTTCAGCTAGGATAGGGTTAAGGTTTCCCCAGCAGAGAAGGGGGAAGGGGTCTCCAGCCGGGTTATTCATACCATGCTAATGTCAGGTCCAGGTGCAGCAGCGTGGGAACTTCTTCCTTTGTGGCTGTGGTCACGGGGAGCATTGCGAGTGAGCTGTCTGTAACCATTGCGGTATTTCTCTGTATATTTTTTGTCTTGTTTACTGTACTGCTGTTTATTGTTATCATTGCTACTGTTGTTGTTCAGGTTGTTTATTACACTCTTGTATTAAATTTCTTCTTATTTTAACCCGGGGTTTGTGCTCTACTTGTGTCCGAGGGTGGGGGAGGGACAATGGCAACGTGGTCTCCGGTCCCAGCAGGGCTTAAACCAACACACTTTGCCTACTTCTACTAAAGCAAAATATATTTAAAATTAATGAGTGTAGGCTAACAGCTATGCTAACAAGGCCTAACTCACACTAATTGCTACACAGAGAGATGTAGATTGCTCTAAGTCACTGGTAAAAAAGATGAGGAAAATAAATTTATCCAATGAGAAACATAGGCAATATGTCCTAACAGATTTCGTTCATGGTCCTGATAGCTGCTCACTAGTCACATTAACTGCAATAAACTATTATATTTCAATATATCAAACAGATTTAGTTTATTCTTCTCAATTCAGCTCTTATGACACAATATGGACTACTAAGGCCAGTTTTGGACTTTCCATTACAATAAGGATTTTGACATACTGAAGGGAGCCCAGCAAAGTCCCACCAAGGTGATCAGGGAGCTGAAGCACAGGAAAGGCTAAAGGACCTGGGACTGGTCAGCTGGGAGAAGGCTACAGGGAGACCTTATAGCAGTCTGCAACTACCTGATCAGAAAAGAAAGAACTGAATTCTTCTTGGAGGTGCACAGTAACAGGAAAAGAGGCAACAAATATAAGTTGGAACTTTGGAAGTTCTGATTAGAGAGATATATATATCTACCATGAGGGTGACCAAATATTAGAAAAAGTTGCTCAGAGTGGCTGTGGAATCTCTAGTCCTGGAGGTATTCAAGACAAGATTGGATGGGGCCTTGAGCAATCTGACCTAATTACACCTGCTCTTAGCAAGGGTTTGCACTAGATGATCTGTGGAGGTCCGTTTCAACCTAAATTATTCTGTAGTTAAGCAATGTAAACACTAGTGAATATATGTATGTGTATATATATTTATAAAATATAAATCAAATTTACACAGAGATGTACATATGAATCTCCACATAAATCTCACATTCATAGATGTTGGAAACACAGTTACCTGAATAACTTCCACTTAGTTATTTTATGTATAGGAATTGTGATACAGACTTTTCATTTACATACTCTTATTGTTTTTCAATAATAAGTAAGTGTGTGTGAGACTCTCTTGTTCATTTATTCCTCCTCTGCATTACAACAGCATGCATGGAAAACTCAAGACTATTGTCAAAGTCTGCACCTGGTCCAAATATTCTTCAGTCTACTAATGGTCTTTAAATGCTTAATGCAAAATTTTCTATCCTTCCCTTCCTACATGGTTTGGTCATAGGTGGAGACATGGAGTTAAACTGAAAGAGAAATCATTCCTGTAAAGGGTTGTGCCTCCTTTCTCAACTTGGGAACAGGCCAGTCTTTAATAGCATCCATCTGTCTGAGCTCTGACTTAATGTAGGTGCCTACCAATTTATTGCACAGATAAACTGTTTCTGCAATATTCACTTTACACTTCACCACCTTTACACACACGGGGATCAAATTAAATATCCACAGGCAGTATTCACTGTAGTATTCCTACTTCTGAGCATTTGAGGTTGCAGTCTTGATAATGTCTTTAAATTGTTTGTTCTTTTACATGTAAGGAAAAAAATATACAAAATACAAATAATTCCTCGTGTAGGCTCATGCTGATACTCAAATGAATCATGAACAGGTTATGATCCTTTCCAATCACTGTAACTATCTGTGCTAATAGAATAAGGAAAAAAAGAGAAAGAGAAACAATGTCCAAGAAGCGATGAGACATGTTGAGAATAGACTTCCTAGATTTGGTTGTGAGTTCCAGAGGTGATTGAAACAGTCAGTCACTATGACCCCCTGGGAAACTGCCTTCAGGGACAAGGGAGTAGAACAGACCTGGCAGATCTTTAAGGATGCTTTCTATAAAGCACAAGAGCTCCTGATCCCTAGGTATAAGACATTAGGTAAGGAAGGCAAGAGACTGGCATGGCTGAGTTGAGACCTGCTGATCAAACTAAAGGGCAAGAAGGAAATGCACAGGCAGTGGAAGCAGGGACAGGTTTCCTGGGAAGAGTATAGGGACACTGATCAGTTGTGTAGGGATGCGGTCAGGAAGGTCAAGGCACGTCTGGAACTGAATTTAGCAAGGAACAACAACAACAAAAAAAAAAAAATAAAGGTTTCTACAGGTATGTCAGGCAGAAAAGGAAGGTCAAAGAAAGTATACCCCCCAATAAGCAAGAGCAGCAAACTGGTAACAACGGGCAAGGAGAAGGCTGAGGTAGTCAACATTTTTGTCTGTCTTCACAGGCAACCTTACTTCCTACACTTCTTGAGCTACTGGACCACAAGGCAGGGACTGGGGGAACAAATTCCCTCTCACTGTAAGAGAAGATCAGGTTTGTGACTACCAGAGGAACCTGAACATACAGAAATCTATGAGATGTGATGAGATGCATCCCAGAGTGCTGAGAGAATTGGCTGATGTAGTTGCCAAGACACTCTGCATCATATCTGAAAAGTCATGGCAGTCAAGTGAAGTCCCCAGTGACTGAAAAAGGAAACGTTGCACCCATTTTTAAAAAGGCTAGAAAGGAAAAGCCTGGGAACTACTGATCAGTCAGCCTCACCTCTGTGCCTGGGAAGATCATGGCACACATCCTCCCAGAAGCTATGTTAAAGCACATGGAGGACAGGGAGGTGATTTGAGACAGCCAACATGGTTTCACAACGTCAAGTCTTGACTGATCAATTGAGTGGCCTTCTGTGATGGAGTGACTACATCAGCAGACAAGGGAAGAGGTATGGAGGTCATCTCTATGAGCTTCTGTAAGGCTTTTGACATGGTCCACTCCCAACATCCTTCTCTGCAAATTGGAGAGATGGATTTGATGGGTGGAGTATTTGGTGAGTGAAGAATTGGCTGGATGCTTGCATCCAGAGGGTAGTGGTCAAGAGCTCCATGTCCAGATGCAGATTAATGATGACTGGTGTCCTTCAGGGTTTGGTACTGGGACCAGTACTGTTTAATATCTTCATCAATGTCATAGTGGGATCAAGTGTACCCTCAGCAAGTTTTCAGACAATACCAAGCTGAATGGTGTGGTTGATGGCATCTAGAGGGACCTGGACAAGCTTAGGGCTTATTTCTTGAGGTTCAACAAGGCCAAGTGCAAGGTCTGCGCATGGGTTGGAGCCCCAGTATCAATACAGCTGGTGGATGAAGGGATTCAGAGCAGCCCTGCAGAGGACTTGAGTGTACTGGTGGATGAACAGCTGGACATGAGCCAACAATGTGCACTCGCAGCCCAGAAAGCCAACCATGTCCTGGGATGCATTAAAAGAAGCGTGGTCAGTAGGTTGAGGGACATGATTCTGCCCCTCTGCTGTGTTCTATTGAGACCCCACCTGAAGTATTGCATGCAGCTCTGGGGTGCCCAGCAAAAGAAAGACATGGACCTGTTAGAGCAGGTCCAGAGGAGGGCGACAAAAATAATCAGAGTGATGAAACACCTCTCCTATGAAGAAAGGTTGATAAAATTGGTGTTGTTCATCCTGGAGAAGAGAAGGCTTCAGGGAGACCATATAGCAGCTTTTTAGTACTTAAAGGGGGCTTATAAGAAAGATGGGGCAAACTTTTTAGTAGGGTATGTTGCAATTAGATAACGAATAATGTTTTTAAACTAAACTGAGGTAGATTTAGGCTTGATATAAGGAAGATATTTTTTATTATGAGGGTGGAAAAACACTGGAATGGGTTGCCCAGAGAGTTGGGTAGATGCCCTATCCTTGGAAACATTCAAGGTCAGGCTGGATGGGGCTGATCTAGATGAAGATGTCACTGCTCATTGCAATGGGATTGGACTAGATGACCTTTAAAGGTCCCTTCCAACACATACTAGTCTATGATTTTATGATTCTATGTATTCTAGTCTTCACAAACAGTTGCATTTTGTGTCCCAAGCCTTACCAATGTGTCATGCATAACTTAATTCAGTAACACAGTTATCTCAGGGAATAGAAAATAATGTTGATATTTCACTGCAACTATCTACTTTAGTTTTCTTTCATAAATATATTGTTATTAGTTTCAAATCTTCCTAGATTACTTTAGGTTAACTCCCCTTTGAAGATCTATAGAGTGTATACATTATGGTTTATGATACACAGATCCACTCTCTACTTACAGCCACTGCCTCTCCTAATCTTATTTTCCTATGGCATTCTTTGTTTCCTTTCTATTTTTGAAGGAACGTAATTCTTAAAATGACATTGTTAACCAGCTGAGCTTAATCCTTGTGAGCAACTACTTAACAGCTTAATATTGTAACTACACTATAAAATCCCCATTTAAGGTAAAATTTGCACATGACTAGTTTATACCCATTTATGCCTATTAGTATTTAAAATGACTGCTTTTATCTTAATATTTTCTCCTTGTATTTACAGGGAATAATCATATCTGCTATTAACTTCCATTTAGCTAAGCCAAAATCCACACATACTTCCTTAGAGCTCAGTGCCATGCCAGCTTAAACCAGTCTAATTTGAGTTTATATTTTCTGCTTCTCCCTCCATCCTGTCATGTGTGCCATGACTAGTAACAGCCTTTCATGCTGTCATACACTAAGCCAGTTTAGAGAGATGATTCAAAACCAAACTAATATATAAAAGAAGAAAAAATGTATTTGTCCATTTCTTGGGGAATTGTTCTATCTTTTGTAAGGTTTAATTTTCTTAGTTCTGGCCCTTAAACTGCACTATCAATGGATGCACACATATTTCTTTTAGCACAGTAGGTCAGAATGTCAGGACGAATTGTTTCAAGGTGCAGATTATGGAAGTTCCTCTTTAGATCACATCACTCTTCATAAAACCACACCTTTTGGTTTCTAAGAAATTATGTTCCCAAATGATTCGAACCTTTTTAAGTAACTGATTTCAACTGTTTATGTACTCTGTTGTTAGAGTATTCTAACAGCAGAATATGTCTGTCTTCAAGATCACAACAGAAAGTACCTCTCTCAAGCAAAGAAATTTTATTGATGATAACTTTCCAGCACAGGTGATGGATGAGCCAACAAGGGCAGGTGTTCTGTTGCACCTTATTTTTATGAACAAGGAAAAGTTAGTTGAGAAAGTGAAGGTCAGGGGCAGCTTTGTCTGTAGTGACCATGAGATGATATAATTCAGGATCCTAAAAGGAATAAACAGGCCAAAAAGGATTTCAAGAAAGCAGATTTTGACTTTTCCAATGACCTGCTGAAAAGGATCTCTGGGAGATGGTCCTTGAGTGAAGAGGCATTCAGGAGACCTGGTTGATTTTCAAGGATCACCTCCAAGTTTCAAGTGCAGGTCCACATGCAGGAAGTCAAGCAAATGTGGTCAGAGGTCTGCATGGATGAACAGAGAGCTAACTCAACTGAAACAGACAGAGAAAGCATAGAGGACATGTTTGAGCCTGCAGGGATCAGTTCAGGAAAGCCAAATCCCATCTGGAGTTGAATCTGGCAAGGGATGTGAAGGGCAGCAGGAAGAGCTTCTACAGGTACATGAGCAGCAAAAAGAAAGCAAGGATAAGTGTTGGCCTGCTTCTGAATGTGGCAAGGAACCTGGTGTCAAAGGACATGCAAAAGGCTGAGATACTGAATGCCTTTTTAACCTTGGTGTTTACTTGCCTGAGTTGTCTTCACACATCCTAGACCCCTGTGTCCTGTGGGAAGGTCTAGGACAAAGATCCACTCTCAGTGAAGGAGGATCAGGTTAAAGAACATTTAAACAAATAAGGCAGACACAAGTCCATGGGCCCTTGGTATAAATATCTAGTGGTTAGAATAGAGAATCTGGACACAGACTCTTTTTGGTGGTATCCAGTGACAGGATGTATTGGGTTTACATGACAAGGTTTTTGTAGTGCAGGATGGGGATTGCAGGGGTGGCTTCTTGAGAAGACACCAGAAGCTGCCCCCATGGTGGAGAGCTTTCACTTGGCTCCAAGATAGAGCTGCCACTGGCCAAAGTTGAGCCAACCAGTGACATCGGTAGCACTTCTGTGATAACTTATTTAAGAAAGTGTAAAAAACACTGCGTAACAGCTGAGAGGAGTGAGAAAATACGAGAGGAACAGTCCTGCAGACACCAAAGTCAGTGAAGAAAGAGGTGGGGGAGGTGCCTCAGGCAGAGATTCTCCTGAAACCCATGGAGGACCACAATGGAGCAATGGACCACAATGGTGCAGTCTGTGGAAGACCCAATGCTGGAACAGGTGTATATTCGTGAAGGAAGCTGTAGCCCATGGAGAACCCACACCGGAACAGGCTCTTGACAGGAACCGGCTTGTGGACAGGAGCCTGTGCTGGAGTAGGCTTTTTGGAAGGACCTATAACTTGTGAGGGGCATACACTGGAGCAGTTCATTCCATGGATCCCATGGAAAGGACCCATGCTGGAGCAGTTATTGAAGAACTTCGGTCTGTGGGAAGGACTCATGTTTGAGAACTTCATGAAGG